ACAATATCGACGTGAGGTCGGTGCGGTGACGAGGCACGCACCAGTTTACGCTATTCCCGGCGAGCCTAATTTTAACCATCTGCGTCTCCCAGTCTAGTTTTAGGAAGTGGGCCGACACGCTTTCGGCGAATCAATCGAGCGCTATCGCCCTACTGTGTCAGATGGCTGCTCGGTTAGGAATAATATTCGTTCTTAAGATTGATTAATAATACAAAAGAGGTCGATAGCGCATCTTAAAGATGCTATAGGCCGAATATGGGAGTCAAAAATTAATTAATTTAGACCCGTTCGGCACGCGTTATATTCATGTAAATTTAGTGTCAGCTACATCAAGGAAAAGGTATCAAAATCGGTCAAGCCACATGTATGTACAACATCGGGTGGAACAGTTGAAATTTAAACGTCTCGACGAGTTTTAAGCCCCAATTATCGAAATAAAACGGACAGGCGCATCCGAGACGATATGCAACTAAATCTATAATGGATGAGAAGGGTCCAGCGTCAATCCAGTAAACGAGAGCGCATAAACACAGGCGCATACATAATCGAACAAGCGAAGACAATAGTTGCACGACTCATTAATCCAATGGATTAGAGTGGCATTGGGGAACCGGGACGCGTTCGGCGGCTCGAATAAATTTCAATTAGAGCAATCAGGACGGTCAGTCGCGGAAGTCTGCGGATCCGATGGGCACGGGATAGCGGAGTCTTACCTTGCATACAAAACTCGTCCCGCTCAGCGCATACAAAGGAGGACCTCCGCTGCAAATCATTAGAATTGCGGTAACCGAGATGTGAGCGGAATTATGCCCGATACAAGCGCTAGATAATTGTGTGCGGATTTCGGATTACTTGGCACCAAGTTCTCGGATGTAGCTGGGACACACTTTCGTGAAACTGGCTGACTCATGTGACTATAGATTAACTAGTCTGTGCCTCATCTTTTTTCTTTATTTTCATATACTGTAAATATTCCATAGAGCATTCAGAACAATTTTATTCAAGTTAGGTTTGAAATTTTGCACCTCACTACATATAAAAATAAAGTGCTTTCTTTTTGTTAAATCTTTAAAACTAGAAAGATTTAATATTAGATAGAGTGATTCAAGAGGAATGTTCTTATATACAACGTTTACAGTCTTTCTGTAGTGTATTTTTTATCGCTAGTATATATTTGTTAGATAAATGAGTTCGGATATTTGCAAAACTGCAAAGCGAATCATATGTATACAAAATTTTCCTTGTGTACCACATAAACGTAAATCGGCGATGTAACGAAGGTCCTAAACAACGATATACGCATTCCCCATCAACCGCCTCGAAATATCTCCAAAGTTGACAAGCGGGCGACTTTGCATTCGCCGACTTAACGATTGGGCCCGACGCTACGGCCATTGTATTTATGCGTATAATAATACGTATTTCGTAAACATATTACGAAGCCACAAAACCTCGTACATAAATACATGCGAAGAAACTCCGAAATGCAAAATACAGGGCTGAATTATGCAGCGGACACGAGAGTGAAATGAAATTCTCGAAATAATGAGATGGCAATTTGATTTTCAAGTATTTAAAGAATGACCAGAAAGAGGAGCTCTAGAATATTATCTTAACTAATAACAAAACATAACCGCACTTGGCTTATTGCTCGTATGTGCTTTAATCACTCGAGTACTAATTTTTCCACTCGAAAGTAACACAGCAGGGGCGGAAAGCGATTATCGGCCTTTATTGTGGAACATTTGTCTTTTATCAGGGTGGTCGCCGTTTCACTAATTACAAGGCACGACCGATCGTTTAATACCAATTTTGCAAACAGCAAATAATTAAAAATTCGATTTGGCGGTGCATCCAAGACACGCAGAATAAACTAATGACCAGATCGACGCATCCACACAAATTTGGACAATCTTCATCACTTGTCATGAAAATTAAGGCTTTTGTATAATAATTTTAAACTGATAAGAAACTCTTTAAGCTGAAATGTTTTCTTAGTCTTCATTAGTCGATACAAAAATATTAGTCGACGACGATAGGATTATTAATGCCCATACAATGTAAAATCAAGATAAGGAAACAAAAAATGGAACAATAGCTCTCGAGCGGTGCTTCTTGTCTGAAAGGAGATATGTACACGATGGCAATGATGTTGTAGCTAATCCGTAAACCACACGCGGTGACGATTACAACGCACCTATTAGTCAAATTAGCCGTATTGTTACTTCAAGACGGTGTTGCACAAGAGCAATCGGCTTACATACGGACAATTATGCCTCACAATACGATGAGTCATCAGAAATTGCCGGGGCGATTATCAAAACAATGGTCTTGATAAGTTAATAAAGACGCTAGAGGTCTAACGAGCGATTATCAAGCAATATCGCGAATAGGCGCGTGTCTGCGCGTCTCACATGGAATATCTTATGCACTACGATGACTCACTGTCGCCAGACGAAACGGTATATACTGACTATAAACAACTAAAAGGCTTATAAAAAGCTATGAGAATACTTGAAACCATCAGACGTCTTACAAATGCGTGGTCTGAAATAGAAACATGGTTTTGAAACCAACCCCGGTACAAACATTGCGCATTGAAAGCGAAATCTCAAGAGCTATTACGAAACATCGAGACAGCGAATGCAAGATTAGGAATCTGTTTGTAGCGAGGGCACTGACCGAATTCCACATTTATACCGCTAATTCATGCACAAGAGCATCTGCATCCTACGAAAGCCATATTAGGAGTATCAACGTCGAAACACGGCTAATAACGTTTACGTTCGCGCGGGCTACGACAATCACACGCGGAGAATACTTAAATATGTAATCATAACAATGTGCATGACTTCAATACAAATATATTCGGAGATAAGACGGTGGAGCGCACAGAACTAGGCCACAAAATTGTGCACGCTTCTCACGATTATATATGAAACGAAATCTAAAGAGAGAGTACAGTAGATACCGTCACGGGAGGCACTTATCTCTAGAGATCGTAATTATAGCTTGACCATTTTGATTGAACAGGCTTATCGATGATGCGTGAACAATAAATGTCGGCGTCAGCAGACATGTTAACCCGCACGTCAAATACAGCCCTCGGGACCGATCATAAGCGATTCGACATAATCAATTTCGTGCTAAAATTAACCGACCAGCACAATTCGTTAAGGTTAGTTTGGTAGCAACATTTATATGATACGATATTAATACTGCGAATGTATGGATTGATACATAAGTAGGCTGATGATATCTATATATACAAAGACTAGCTATGCCAGCGACTTCGTCCGCTAAGAATATTTATTTTGGACATCTAAATTCGTTTTTGCAAACCCCTTTATCTTTATAAACTTAGCCGTTACCCACGACGCCGGTCACGTGCCTTCCCATCGTTCTTGCAAGTTACTTTTAAAAGATAGACATATAGTGCCGCGGACTTTTTTTTAGATCATTTAAAGAGATTTTTTTGGGTATCTTGAACCGTTTTGGCAGCGCAATGGAAACCCACAAGGATGAATAATTTTCCCCGATTTTTCGACATTGCCCGCTGTTTTTTTGCTCCTATTTGTTACAGCGCTATGTTTAATAGCCCTTCCTCAATAAATGCTTTAACCAACACAACAATAATTTTTCAATTCGAAGCAGTAGTTCCTCTCTTCAGCTTTATATATTAGTATAGATAATAAATATGTTCTCATGTTAAATATTTATATATAATAATATCAGCCGCTTGGACTATTATGTTTGATAGGATTCATATGATTCTTGTCAACCGAACGTAATTTTCAATTAAGGTACTTGGTAATCCGGATCAGGTGTAGAGTAGATTTAAGGCCTCAGGCACCGAAGTCCTCTCGATAATTGGAATACGTCCCTAGTCAAGCACCTGCTACTGTATTGAGAATTTACCTTTTTTATCTCCAGAGGCTTGAAACCGGATAATTATCGAGACTTACAAAGTAATAAACGACTCAATTTTCTTCGACACGTTGCGTATTACAACATATTCATTTCAATCGTTGGTACATACTAACAAATATTATAATGAACTACATGCAGCGGTACCACGAATTAATCTAAATGATTTCAATAATGAGATTTTCGTTCTATAAGTGTATCCGGTGGTCTCAGACATCATATTAAAGCCGTCTTATTGAATACTATCACCGAAACACCAATTCATTCATCGTACAAATCAATAGTGGCGCGTACCACATCTACTTCTACAAGACGTCATTATGAATCGACGCAACCGGTTCGGGCGTTAATTAAGAAAAGATTTTAAATATTATAACACGCTACTTGATCACGCTTTCGACACCGCTTCCACGTCTATCAGCCTTACCATTGATAGCTCCGCAGGTGAATGACTTATTAACAGACATATTATACTAAATTGATTTTGGATCACTCATAACTATGTTTCATTATTATAACCGGCGTATCGATCAATACCTCGTTTCAGACGTTCGAAGGAACCCTAAATGATTTATGAATGCAAATAGTAGACGGTAGCATTAATTTCTGTCGGATAATAATTATTCAATTTTGTGTTTATCACGATCCGATTTTACCTGTCAATTTGGATTCGCAATCAGTTACCCGAAACTCTCGCTTATCATTAAGAATAATTTCTCGTATAAATTGCGTAAACAACCTGAACCCGTTTTACGTTTTCGAAAAACGTGACGGACGCCGAGATCTATTTGCAAAATATATTCGTAAATAATATTTGTTCTACTTATTAAAAATAATTAACTAAGTGCCTTCAAAAGCTGAGTGACAACTGTGTCATAGAGACAGACAGTTAATGTTATAGCAAACTTGCATTTTAAATAAAGTAAGGCAGTTGGTCTATTAAACTTGATCTTGGATGTAATTTCAGCTCAGAACGTGACTATCCCGATAGGAAGCGATATCATCTCAGCGTCGAGATATCGACATTCGTGTAATTAAATAGCGAAACGGGACGTAGTTGAGTGCCATCTGAACTACCGTTGCGGATGATGCGACATGTGGGGATGAGAGAGGTGTGCGTGTGAATACGGTTGCCCTAACGAGCCCAGGGGGAGCGGTGATGGGCAGGGCGGGTGTTGGTGGTACTGCTGCAACGGTGAGGGCGCGAGGCCCGGATGATGCTCTATCGGGTATTGCGCGGAACCAGCATACGCCAATTGCCTCACCTTCATATCATCGTCGACAACATTATACGTGAGCTCAGTCTCCTCGTAGCCGGTGGAAGCCATTCTCTGCTCGCTGGTCGTCGGCGGGTCCGGGGAATTTAAGCAAGTCTGAATGAGACGCTTTCCCGAATCCGATGTGATCATCGGCTGAAGTTTCCGTGTCGCAAACGTGTAAACGTGTCCGGTTTCTGACGCCACTAATAACATCACTTGTGTTCCCGTTAACGTTGATAGTTCGTAAGCCTGAAAATAAAGAAAATAGGTTGATGAATATTTATTTATTTATGCATTTACGTATTTACGCATCTCGTATCTCTCAATAAATTGTTATTTAAAAAACACACGATTTAAAAGGGATCGGTAAATAAGAACGTTTTAAAATTCACTGTACTCGTGAAGCTTTACTTTTTGACCTTTCGCCTCTCCCACGCCCCTTAATTCGTAAGTAAACTGCCATACATTTTCGGGAGCAATATCACTCTCTCACGGCTCTCTGTGTGCCCGAGGAATTATCACACCCACTAGCGCCACCTACACGATTTAAACCAATTACTGTTCTCAGTCACACAGTAATATGGACCCTATTTCGATGAACATAAGAGTTTTGTATTCGCAAATTAATAGATCGACAATTTGACGCGGACTATTGACGAAACCGTAGTAGCGTTTACTGGCGCCAAAGAGAAAATGCATTTCATTTCAAACCTTACACTGTCCTAATTAAGTGTCAATTATATTTTTTAAGCAACATTATTTATTACTACATTCTTAGCCTCAATACAACAAAAGCGCGTCACATTTGTAATACATTATCTTGATATGCAGTTGAAAGGTACCAAAAGATTTTTATCAAATACATTTCGAGGTGGCGAAATTTGTCTTAAAGTGTTGGGACAATATTTCATGTAAAAGTCGCTGCGAATGACGCGCCCTACTAGCGCACAAATACAGTGTCATCGATCAATGATATGATTGATGATAAGCCAGTAATTAGCAGCTCAATTACATTCACAACGGCGATCTCGCTTATACGAAACACGTCAAAATTGAGCCTTAAACACGAATTTTACAGTCATGCCACGATGCACTCAGAACAGTGCCGAAATTGACAATTACAAATGCACCTTTAATGAGCTTAGTTGTTAAGGATGATTGACGACACGGACGAAAAATCTGCAAACAATCGTGCGCAAATTAAAAAAGAACCCAACATCACCTTCATTGAATGAAAGAAATGGCGTCCAATTATTATTAAAGACGTCCGGGACTTTCTTTAAATTGCCAAAAGTTAAAAGTGCAAAAATAATGAATTATCGTGATATTAAGTCATTAGCGTAGGACGAAACGAGAAAATTAATAAGGTGCTTAAAGGCAATTACGCTACATGGTTAAATGACCAACCGTTTCAACGATTTCCTAACACGTAACATTGCTCGGATGAATACTAAAAAAAACTTCGTGGACTACATACATTATATAACTTTGCACGTGACCAAATCAATGTGGTCATATTAAAATAAACTGCAATAAATTGACAGCAAGGTGCGATTTTATAGGGTACTTAAGAATCAAATAAAATAACCAGTGTGAAAATAAAACCTTTCATTTTACATAATAGCTTTTTCTGTAACAGTTTTTACTAGAAAAAATCTAAAACTGGTATAATTTATTTTTTTGTCTGCCACAAGGATAAGATATTACAGTTACATATACTACTAATAGTTAAAGACATGAAGGATTAAAAAAATATGAAGCAATACTTGTCTAACTTCTCAATGACGATGAAGAACGAAGACATTAATCTTTTCCAAGCAATGTGGGTAGGTAGCGTAATAAAATATTTTATTACACTAATGATTGGCAGATCGGCTCCCTTTTAGCGATTAAGTTGTGTAAAAAATAAACTTGACACGTGATCCAGTTAAGTCAAGAACTCGAGTGATTGTAGTATCAGGTGCAACAAAATTCGAAAACGAGTTGGCCAAAGCGCGTGCGCAGAATTAAAAATATTAAATTAATAGCTACTGATTTAAACTTTCAGATACAACTTTTTAAATGCATATATTTAAGCTTTTATAGTAACGAACGAGATCGAAGTATTATAATTAAACCGTGATTTTTTATAGATCAAAATAACTTTGAGAAAGTACATTTTTATGGTGAAAAAATTGAATGAATCCTTTCCTAAGATCGATTAAATTCGATTCATATAAACTACAGTGATGATATGCAGTCGACATCGGCATCACTGTCTCTGCTTGCGAGCAAAACAAAAAGTGAAGCGTGATATCCGTCTGTCAGAACAGTCCATGATTAAGCACGGTAGCGTGTTTGCTCTTACAAATTAATCGAGTTTTAAGTAGGATCGTAAGAGATACGATCATAATATTTTAAGCGAGCGATAAAAAGCGAAAATATTGGAAGAAGTGGATGCACGTGCGATAGATGACGAAACAAATTTGTCATTTAAAATAAATAGATTTTAAACCTTACGAAGGTTTACAGTAGCCATTACATTAAATTCGCTCATATTTTATGCAACGACATGCCATCTTTTATTCATAATGTATTAATTACACATTGTGCATCATTCAAAAGCCACCAATAGCAAAGAAATCTAGGAGCAACTGGCGCCAACATCGAGAGGCAAGCCAGTTTCAAGCTTCATACACTCTGAAAAACCAAGGATCTTATCGTCTTATTTTGTAAGATATTAAGTATAAAACAACTATTAAAATGGTATTATTCTAGGATATCGTCTTGTATTAAATAATTTCTAGGAGAATACTTGTTTCCCAGTGTCCCTTATAAAAGTTTTCAGGTTTTATTTTTTTTTTAGTTAAAACTTAATTCATAATTAGCGTTACGTTAAAACATTCTCATGAGGCGAAAACAAAATAAATTCGAAAACTTTATTATTTTGTTTCCGGAAAAGTGAATGCGACAGATTACAAGAACTTCCATCACACCGTAATGTATCCGAACATCTAGTTAATTAAAGAAAATTAATTAAACGTAGGTAGGTACACGAAACGGACAACGTGATGAGGAATACCAGTCCAGTCAATCCGTTCACATGTGAATAACCACTCGCGAAAAGAAAGGCCCAAGGTACGTTGCGTATATAAAATTTGTTACTTATAATTCGCAAAGCAACGGAGAACTGTCGAGCGCGAAATAAAAAGCATTTCAATGTAAAATAAGTTGTGGTCCAGTCACAAATTAATGGAAAACATTTGGGACATCGCATTACGAGATGCGACATTTCTCCAAGTGCGCCTCGAGGGATGGCGCTCGAAAAAAACTGCTAATTACAAGTACAATGGAGTACAAAGCGGCCGCTTTTCCCACGCAGCGAGGAGCGCGTGCGTACCGAACATTTTAAGCATGCTCGTCTTTTATTGCCAAAAATTAATGCCCAGTAAACAGCCCTTAATTGCGAGCCAACCTCGTTTAATTCAGCCTCTGACAGAGAACAACCAGCGCGTCACAGCGAGGGCCTTTCGCGGAAACGTGAAAATGCACCGCAACAGGCGACCGTCAAACAATATTAAATCGCATGATTCGCGACCAAATTGTAGTGCACTCGATGCGTGCTTCGTGTTTTATAGCGTTTTAATTTTATTGAATAATTCCACACGTCCACCGGCCCGGACCGAAAGTTCGGTAATTTCGGGTAACAACTTTATCGCTCGAGGATACAAATAAACATACTCATTATACTTTATTAAAGTTATTGTGTAACGAAATTAATGAGCTTCTCTGTAAAGTGTTCGAAGTATAATATATAATTAGGTATATGTTGTTAATTTCGTGAATTACATGAGAAAGGAAAAAAATTGTATCGTGATTGAAATAAAGAGCACGCCTTTTTATTTCTTCCCTGTGTTTAATATCACACTTTCCCAGAACGGTTGTAAATAATTGAAAGTGGGCAAAGAAATTTGCACTAAGAAGCCATTTCGTGAAGAAGAAGCGGCATTCGAACGGTCACAAAAAAGGATGACATCGATTTGTCGCCTCCTATTGCGCCCACTGCACAGCGTGAAGTATTAACACCATTAACAAAAGCTGCAAGAACCAATAATTAAATGCAAACTGCAATAACAGCATAAAATTCAACTTGTTCTCGGCAGTAATGGAGCCGCTAGGAGACCATTACGCACACTTACCGGCCCCACATTAGTATCAGAAGCTAACAGTAATTGTCAGTCCTGCCGTGATGAGAATATAAAGGTGCTCATCAGAGTACCCCGTGGTTTGATGGTGAAAACGATTACCATGCCCGAGTTGCTAAACTTCTTTACCAACATAGATCATTAGATAAAAGTTGCACGGGTATCAACATATAATTATGCTATAGATAAGACTCGTATTTGTTATAAGTTTATAAATTCAATTTAATTGTATCAACATCTTTTTTTACTATGCAATATAATCGTAATATGACTTTTAAATTGTAATCTACAAAATTAAAAGACGAAGCTAATTCAAGTGCAGTTGGACATTTAAAATTTGCATCTTCCCTTGTCCCGGGTCTCGTTCATAATTGTGAATCATTTGTATCTTTATAAGCCGTACAGTGATCAGTTATGACTGATCATTAAGGAAACCATGAAACATGTAATATTGTACAACGAACATAACTTCCATTCATAAAGCTCATACACAGGTTTTACAATCTCTCAATGATTGACTTTAATAAATACAATTATCTCTTCTGTTTCCAGATGTTATATGAGCTTAGATTCAACGTCCAAGTATAAACCTTGCGTTCTTGAATATTTGCTACTATCGACAATTTATAAGCAGAACGCGCGAGTGCTGCTATATATAACACAATTATAACTAAAGTATCGTAGTAATTTTGTAGATCTGCGATAAGAAATTAGGAGACAGAAAGCCGTTGAGTAGGTTTTTCTAAATTCAAATAAAAATCAAAGAATTATGTAACAGAAGCTTCTCAAAATGTTTCCAATATTCAATAACTCGACTGACCCATCATGTGCCTAAACACAGTGACGTCGAAATATGAAATAAGACAAATTTGGCTCAACGGCTTCCTAATTAGGACACCGTTTTGACTTATAAACCGCATAAAGCAAGACCAGGGATCGAGGAAACCCCAAAAACAGGTTATGGAACAAGGTTGCCATATTTGTGTAGTACTCGAATGGATTAAGCGTAAAAGGTCTATACGGGTCGTCTCCTGCCTACCTGAACGCCACGTGGCCGTGTCTGCC